GAGCATGGCTAATTTTCTGATTCAACTTTACCATTCTTCATGTTGCCATCATTTTCTGTGACTTTCGTTACCGTCCAGACATTTTCCGCACTGTGATTACAAAATGCTCAAAGGTTAAACATACAGAAACATGGAACATATTATTAGAGCTTCTACCCTGTCAATCCACTCAAAAATTGTATCCATTTCAACTGAACAAGTGTCCTTTTTTTTTTCCAAACGTCAAGACATATAATATTGCTATGCTCAATATATTGTTAAAAGGCAATCCTCTTGTTCCAGAATCGAGTCCCTTGAAACATTTCTGTTCTCCATCCAAATAAACATATAAACGATTTTTTAATTTTATACATTTATTGCAAGTATTGTTTGCTGTAATACAACTGTTCATATCAAGTATAAAACCGCCATTTGTGTTCCTAGTTGCTTGCGAAAATGTCAAGTCACCTCTCTGTGATTCAACTACAAATACACCCAAATATATCATACTCTCTTGCCATTCAAAATACACATTGTTTATTTTTTTCAAAACAAACTAGATAGCTTTGCACTTAGGCATATTAGATTATATCCAAACACCATTGTTGCATCTATGTCTTTTTCTTTGACGTATGCAACTCATCAGATGACGTCCAGGGGATTTGTTGTCACTTCATCTCAATGCTTTGTTGGGACTGTTTCTTTGTTCATGGTATTAATTTTAAGTTCATCAGTTCAACAACATTTGTTTATTTCTTAGTTTTGAAGGTTTCATATCTTTGATTGAGGAGACATTAAGTTGGAGTTTTAGATGCATACACGTTATGCACGAACACTTTGAACCCAAAACAATACGTCACGAAAGTAATTCAGTTTGATATACTTATCTTATGTTCCACTTGTTTGGACATAAGTACATAATGACCTCGGTCTGCACTTTACTAATTAAATTCTTAAATCTTTATATCATTTTTTTAGAAAATTCCCTTTTCTCAAAAAAAAACTGCTGCTTCACAAGATATCAAGAAGTATGTTACCAATATATGGAAAGAAAATATTGTTATCGACTAATGTCTGTACTTTTTTTATCCAAGTGCTCAAGAGAGAATTATGTTTCTCCTTTTATCTGTTCCTAGAATTGGGTCCTTGCTTTCTAGTTCAGTACTTATTGCTAATTTCTGAGTGCCTCGTGTGCTGTGAGAGTTAAACATGTTCTTCTGGTTCTGGAGGCATGAAAGGAAAGGCAGACTGCGTATTAGGAGGTGACAGGGAAATGGGATAAGTATGATATCATTTCCAAAGACCGCATTTAGATTGGATAGCTCTGAAAATCAGTTTTTCTGAATAATTCTATTATTCTACGACGAGAGCAACTTCTGCCAATCAGGACAGCCTTCCAATTGATATGAAGGCAAAATTAAGTTCATTTACTGCAAATTGTTTATTGGAATTGAAAACTCGTCTCATTAATGATGATCACAAAATCAACATTGATTTTACATTTTGAATAGTCTTCACTTTTTATAAGCTCTCTGGTATCGCAACTGGGGAAGGGTTTTTCTTTGGCTGGATTCCCATAAGAGAGTTAAGATAATCCCACGCAAGGCTCTGTTAAAAAAGTCAAAGGTGGCCAGACTTATAGACAACTTTGTATTGAAGGTTAGCGTTTGGTTAGAAGGCATGATATAAAGTGCAAATTATTAAAAGATTGGAGCCATATTGCTCTGGTGTGATACTGCTGTTCGGCGGGGATCCACACTTGGTTCTGATGTGCTCGTTATCTATCAGTTACTTAGATGAAAAGAGTTGCATATTGAACTTCAAGGGTAGAATTCATTAGCAGGTACAGATATGTATGCAGACAAAAACCACACTTAACTAAAATAAAATGAACAAAGTGATAGAAGTAAATGTGGAAATGGAGTTGATACAGAAGCATGGAAATTATTGAGATTAGATTAAATGTTCAATATTTTCCTAATGCGATGAAATAAGAGGAACTGATGTGTTTCAACATGTTTAATGATTTGTTTTCGCAGACCATATAATGATTATACATGATTGTATTTTAAAAGCTGGTTCACTGAATAATGACTTTTATTAGAAAAGGCTGAACATTTAAAAAAAAAACAATTGAGTGATATTTCCGTTCACAGAACATCGATTGGATACAAGATATTGCTTTGAGTTCAGGACAATCCATTAGCTCCCGAGGAGTTATTGAATTCACGGAATTCAGGAGTGGCGCAACTCAAATCTGTCAGAATGTTGATGTTTGCTGAATAATTAAATCAGTATGACTATTTGCACAAATATAATTTTAACACCCTTGATAGCATAAGGTTGCTATTTGATCTTGTGTTTGATCTTATAATGTCAGAAAACATGGAAACAGACGCTTCAGTTCAACCAGTCCATGCCGAATGTAATCCCAAACTCATCTAGTCCCACCTGACTGCTCCTGGCCCATATCTGCCCAAATCTTTCCTATTCATGTACTAATCCACATGTCTTTTAAACACTGTGATTGTACCCACATTCACAGAGTTTAAAATGATAAATTATCCAATAGAGTAAGTGGTGAGAATTTATTGTCCATTCGATTACTCATAGTCAAGTGAACAACATGTCACAAACCCAGGTAAGCTTTTGCATTAGAAATTAGGAAGGATTTTTTTTTTTAACTGAATGTTTGCTAGAACTGTGTACTGGAAACATAATGAATGGGGCATAACCCACTTCAGTTTCCCTAAGTAAATGAGATAACAAGGTGCAGAGCTGGATGAACACAGCAGGCCAAGCAGCATCAGAGGAGCAGGAAAGCTGACGTTTCGGGCCTAGACCCTTCTTAAGATTTTTCTGAAGAAGAGTGTAGGCCCAAAACGTCAGCTTTCTGCTCCTCTGATGCTGCTTGGCCTGCTGTTTTCATCCAGCTCTGCAACTTGTTATCTCAGATTCTCCAGCATCTGCAGTTCCTACCATCTCCCTAAGAAAATGCTCAGTTTTAGTTTCTTGAATCCTACATATGTGCAACAGTCAACTGATTGAAGTTGCAATCGCACTTTGCTTCCCTGTGATTGTAAAGTAAAAGGCACAATATTCTGACCTCTCCTAGTTTCATTGATTTCAGTGCTAGGGAGGAGCGAATAATGAATGGATTCATTCCTGTGTGTGAAATATTCCTTCGTTCTGCTGTTCTCAATTGGAGCAGGAACTCCTAATTATAATTTCAACAGAATGTAACTGCAAAGTAGAGATTTAGCAATTGCATTCTCGACGTTCAGAGCTGAGAACTTGAGGCGATGAAATACATTGGGAATGTCCCAGTGGACAGAGAGAAAAAACAACACAGATATAATAGGTCAGTGAGATGCTCACTTATTCACTAAATTGTTGAGAAATGTTCATTACAATTTCCTTCCCAGTATACCACGCTGGTGATGTTTCAATAAAGCTTTGATTACAGAGATTTGAGGTAAAAGTACTAATAGCTCTACCAGAAAAGTACTGTATTGAGTCAACAGTGGCAACAAGGTAAACAATGCAGATGACTTGTTTTTTTTTTCTATAAATTGCTTTTTCTTAATTATTTGTTGCATGGGAGGTAGCACTGCCTGCCAAGACGGGTATGTATTGCCGATCTTTAATGGCCTATAAACTGAAACACTTCCTTGGACATTTCAGTGAGAATTTAAGCTCCTCATTGCAGGTCTGGAGTAACGTACTTCCTGCTCAGGAAAAGTTGGTAGTTTTCTTCCTGAAAGAACGGGCAATAAATGCTTGTCAGCCAGCGATGCCCACGTCCCACAAATGAATTTTTAAAAAAATTAGTAGAACCTAATGTCCACAAACCTTTCCGTTCTCTTCTTTCTGAATTTAGAATTGGTTCGAAAAATAAAACTTCAGAAGTCTGAGATTGATGATAAATTTCAAAAACATTTCAATAGCTCCAGTTGTTCTTCCATTTTTTTGCAGATAACAAGTTAACTTGTTTTGTTTTCCTTTTAAATATTACAGTTACTGACGAATTTTACTTATTTGAAGGCTGATTTCCAGATACAAGAGAGTAGAATAAATACACTTACAATGGGGTTTGAGGCATTTATTAATAATTACTTTTAGAATCCTTACGGTGTGGAAACAGGACATTCGGTCTAATTTGTCCACATCGACCTTCGAAGAACATCCCATCCAGATCCATCACTTTAGCCTATCCCTGTAAATTGCATTTCCAAGGCTATCATACCTAACCCATACATTCCTGGACACTATGGGTAATTTCGTATGGCCAATCCAAAGAATGTGTACTTCTTTGAACTGTGGACGGAAACTTGAGCACCTGGGGTGGAATAAAACCCGGTTTCTTGGCGCTGTGAGGCAGCAGTGCCAACTACTGAGCAACCATTCCGCTCAGATAAGAATGGACGTGACATACATTTAGAATATATGAGATCTTAAAGCAATGGGGAGTGGAAAATAAAGATAAATGAGGGCGGGAATTTTAATGCGATAATGCTGCAATTTACAGAAATAATAATCATTTAATGAATGTCCAAATTATACCAAGTGGTACATGAAATAACTTCATGCTGCAAAATCTATGACAAGTTCTTTTATGTTTTAATTCATGAATGGAATGTGAGCATCACTGGCTAGGTCACAACTTATTGCCGAGAGTGCAGTTAAGAGTCAAAGACATTGTTGCAGGTCTGGTGTCACATGCAAGTCACACCAGGTAAGGATGAGAGATTTTGTTCCCATAAGGACATTACTGAATCAGATAGGTTTTGTCACAACAAGCAACAACAATTTTATTAGTCATCATTAGACTCTTAGTTCCAAATGTTAATTGAATTCGAATTTCTAACATTGGGAGGATTCCAACCTGGGTCCCCAGAACAATACCTGGGTCCTGGACTGGGAAAAATAACACTAGGCTATCACTTACCCCAGTATAGCTGCTCAGATCAAAAGAGTGTAGAGTTTCAAAAAATATACTCGCTATTTCCACAGAAAAAGTGTCACTTAATGAATGTCCAAATTAGATTAAATGGATATTTCAACATATTATTTAATTCCTGCCTGAACTTATTCTGTGTTACAGCATAAATACAAGTGTTGGTGCAACAGCTAAGAAGTTGAAGCATATACCCACTTTCCTGCAGTATGAATCTAGGGTCGCGGAAATCAGAACCTGCAAAATAATTGCCATTTGTAAATCGCACGTACAACAAATTTACAACATAGGTCATCCATAAGAGTATGAAACTACCCGATATAGAAATAAGTAAAAGGATGGATCTTCTCCGGTTCTCCACCTCCCGGTCATTCTGATTTTGTCCATTGCTGTGGATATGAAGTCTCTTGCGAGCTCTCGTGGCTGATAAAATATGCCTGACAGTCAGAGCATTGAGCAGAAGAATCAGACCAAAAGGGACACAAGGAGTCAGAATACGGTCCAACCAGTCAAATGCTGCCCAAACAGGTGCCATGTAAAATAATAACTTAATGTTGCAAAACCATGGTACATTGTCTATTATGTATAAAGGTTCATATATAACGTAACAGGGGATGTTTTTAATGCAGCTCAGAGAACTGGCAGTTGTTATAACCACAGCTGCTGTTTTCCCAGAGCAATAATTCATTTTCAGTTGCTGGCAACAGATAGCTACACAACGATCAAAGGTAAAAGCAACTGTTAACCAGACTGAACTGTCCCTGGCTGCATACGTTAGGACAGCACTAACACTGCAGCCTGGAGTTGTTGTCAGAAAACTAACTGGGAAATAAATACCACGAATCCGATTCAATACCACAGCAGTGATGATCACAAGCAAATCTGCTGCAGCCATGGACACCAGGTACCGAGTGATGCACCTGGAAAGACAACATCTTCCTCGAGCTAGGATCATAATCGCTGCTAAATTAGCGAGAAATAAGAGAGATCAGGATCAGTATTGATGAGTATGTCTAATGAGAAAATGAACCAATAGGTACATTGCAACTATCGCCATATAGAATATATAATTGAATTGTGACACCTTTTAACAAAGACTTAGATGCTCAGTAGGTTTGTGACACGCCTTAACTAAAACGTATAAACATGAAGACTAGTGATATAGATGATCAAAAACCTGACAACATATCACAACGATACTTCTTCAACAATTATGGTACGGTAACATTTTATATGGAATAGCTATGTTAGCCAAAAAAACGTCTGGAATAAATGTAGCATTGTGACTTCTTGCACTGAACTGTGATACTTGTATAAAATCGTTGAGCAATGATTGTCTCACTCTTATAAATTAATTAGAACGTCAATTTTTGAAAAGCAAATTCCTTATTAAATTACCATATCAGAAATATGTACATGCTGGAAAGATTTTCACAGGAAATATATTACTGCATTTCTTTGTGTAGAACATCAATATCATATGAAAGACTAATAAAATATATGGCTACCTTTTCAATGTTACCAGGAATAGCGATTGCTGCAAAAATTGGTTGGTAAATCGCAAATACAGGACCAGTAACTGGGTTATGCATCTTAAAAAAAATCTGAGAATTCCACTTGTAATATAGGAAGATTGCGAACTATGTCATATTTATATCTGATGCACTTCATGTGGAAAAATGTGTTTCATCACTTTTGCTTCAGTTACAGTTCATCAAACAAACAAATCAAGAGATGCGTGTTCAGCCGAGGAGATTCCATATTGATCTTTATGGTGCTAATATCAATCTATGACATAATTTTGCTCCTTCTCTTTGCTGTTTTATTTTAATTGGCCAGCTGTGTTGGCATTTAAAATCCCATGTTGAACTTTTGCTAACATATCACATAGTAGAGTCACTGAGGAAAGGGGATGACAGAAAGTCTATTATTGAGTTAGTGAACCAATACCTTGGACTAAACTTCCAGGGTCATTTTTTAACAGTCCTTCATGGAATCTGAGTGGGTAGGGAATGTTTGTGTGAGGTGATGGGGTTGGGGTTTCTAACTTTTATTAACTGCATATATTTCAACAACAATGACCATGACAATATTGATTCCATTGAAACCAACCTGTTTTGAAATCAGATTTCCTTATACAGTCTGGCTCCTTCATGGTCCAACCTGTAGCTATATGGTTGACCTCAACTGCACTCTGAAATGTCCTAGCAAGGTATTGTGCTCTGCCAAATCATTTCAAGAATGTGAATAAGAAAAAATTCCAAAGGACATCACGAATCTACCTAATTGCAAAGACTGCAAAAACTCACACTAACCTGTAAACAATGTAGATTATTCATATTTACCATTTGGGAGTAATCTGATGCATTGATTTAGAGAATTATAGGGTCATAGAGTTACATAGCATGGAAACACATCCTTTGGTCCAATTGGTCCGCATTGACCAAATAAGTTATCCAGTCTCTTTTGCCAGCATTTGGTTCAGATCCCTGCGAACTGTGCAAAAGTATAACGTTCCAGAAGACGCTTCTGAGGCATCTAGAGGGCAAATAAGCCATAACGCCTGATAGATGCTATCCTTGTTTCGGGGCCATAATGATGAGAACCTTGATGGCAGGAAGCAATGGCAGAACAGTGCCAGGCATAACCAGATGCACACAGAGCAATAGCCACGCTAACGAGAGAATAATAAAAAAGCAGTCAACAGTTGAAACAAAATGAAATTTGATCCCAAGAGGAGGTGGAGAAGAGGTGAAGGGTATATTTCTCTATGTAACGAAGAGGATGCTCTGATATTAGGAATTGAGGCTTTTTTTTTCACAGCCGTAATCTGTCGTCATATTTGTCACATCCAAACTAATTAGCTGCATTCCCAACCCGAATCTTATTTCTTTTTCCTCTTTTTGTTTGGGATCATGTAGAGATAGGCCTTGGATGTGTATTGTATTAGCATCAGCAGCAGCATACCCAGTGACACAAACTTATATTAAATTTCCTGGCATTTTATTGTCTGGACACTATCACTTAGCAGCATTTACGTCCACTGTTTCCGAGAAGACAAGAAAACCCCTCCACCCTCTCACCATGAGTTTATGAGACACTTTATCCGGGAGTAATTCTTGGAACGAAGTGATACAGTCTCTCACCGTATCCTCAACTTATTGGCGAGTACATCCTTCCCTCCTTTACATATTGTATTTAGACCACTTAGCCTGTATTGTCTCTCCATTCTTCTTCTTCCAAAAATGCATTATCTCACATTTCTCAGCATTGAAATTCGGTTGCCTGGTGTCTGTTCATTTGGCAACTTTTCAATGCCCTCTGAATCGCTCAGCATCATCCTCACAACTCATTATTCTCCATAGCTTAGTATTATCTGTAAACTTAGAGACTTTGCTTTCGACAACCATCTCCAAATAGTTTATATACATCAGAAAATGCAAGGGTCCCAAAACCTATCCCTGGGGATCATCACTTTCAACTCGTCTTCAATCTGCAAATGCCCATGTATAATTACCTTCTGTTTCCTTTATTTTAGTCAACTTCAAATTCATGCTGCCAAGGACACATCAATCTCATACAGTTTTAATTTGCTAACCAACCTACCACGTGGTATCTTATCAATAATTTTCTGAAAATGAAAGTATACAACGTCCACGAAACTAACCTCATCCACTGGCTGTGTCTTCTCATCAAAGAACTCAATTAAATTTGTCAAACATGCCCTGTCCTTGACAAAGCCATGTTGAATGTTTAGTATTAACTTGCTTTTCTCTGTGTACGTCTTCCTTACGCTGTATCATGGCCTCCATCAGTTTCCCCACTATTGATGTCAAGCTGACAGGTTTGCAGTTTCCTGGATTATCCTTTTTCCTTTTCTTAAACAACGGTGCCAGATTTGCAATCGTCCAGCCGCTGTGACCAATCTTGTGTTCAGAAAGGCCTGGAAAAATTCAGTCAATGGCTCCGTAATTTGCTGTGTTGACGATCTCAGCAATCTAGGATGCAATCCATCCAGGCCTGGCGACTCCTGTACCATGTTTTAGCACATCTTCTTTATTTATCACAATACTGCTCAGTTGCTCAACACGCACGTTTTAAATAAGGCCATTGTCACCATATTCTAAGTTGATTAAAGGCAAAAACAAAACAATAATTTCGTTACTTTGCCATATCATTTGCGTCAGTGACAAGTTTACCCTGTTTGTTCCTTATGGGTCGCACATCTGTCCTTCATTAATCATTTATTATTAATATCCTTGAAGAACGTTTTACTTTATGTTTTAGTGCAGGCTGCCATCGTTTCCTAATGGCTCCTCTCGGCCTCAGCCTCTCTCCTACATTTAAGACACTCTTCCTGATATATTTTTTTTCATTCTTGTGTGGCTTAACAGGATGGGTGCAGAAAACTTGTATCCCTTATGAGATATTTTTTAGTATTAGGGAGCATAATCTCAGAATAGGACGCCACCCATTTAGGACAGATGTGAAGAGTGATTTCTTATTTCAAGGCGTAGTAAATTTGTGGAATTTCTTATAACAATAGCTGCAGAAATTGGGTTGGAAAACCATATACAAGGCTGAAATGGACAGATTTTTAATCATTAAGTGAATGAAGAACCATGGGGAAAAGGCAAGAATGGAGACAATGAATATTCGATCATCCATGATCTCATTGATTCACTGAGTAGACTTGATATGACGAATTTCTTACCTCTGCTCCATCCTATTATAATTTTATGAACTTATGTAGATGGTACTTTACTTTTATTCTGCTGGTGCTGAGCCAACATCAGGAGGGTTTGCTTTAAAAATTTTAAAGCAAGGTTTATTCTGTAGTGAATCATTCGCTAATGAAGTAGAGATAGTATTGTCGTAAAGCTAAGCGCAACAGGCTAGAGAACGAGTGAAATTACAGAGGTGATGCTCGTTACGTAATTTATTTTATTTTTGCCTCTGACATTCGTCCAAAGCGGCCATTGTAAAACTTTTATAAGTGTTCAACGTGCAGAATTTAGACTTGTTCACAGAACGGTCTTGCATGCAAGTACACCTCAGACAAATTTAGTAAAAATTATCTGCAAAGGAATGGGGACAAATATGTAATATCGAAACCGAGGTGCAGAATGACCTTGAAGAAGAAACCCAGCTGATTGTGAACAGTTAAGTTTTCATTCTAGATTTATTAAACTGCTTGAAAGAATGTATAAAAAGAACATTTATTTTACAGATATTATTTTGAACATAACCACTAAGCATCACATTGAGAACACACGTTCTGAAGTGCCACGTGTAAGGGTAAATCTAACAGACAACACAAAGAAGAAACTGGGATTCAATGTGATGGGAGACAATAAGTATGAGAAAAGAATGAGGTAATTGGTTATATGGGATTCATGCAATGTTTAGACCTGCTATTTGTGCAACTGTAGAACAGAAGTTTATTTTCACTCTCCTTCTCCAACTATAGGAGAAGAAAATTCTCTTCATGTCAGATAAACAAATAGAATCCTTAAATATGTCTAGCAAAAAAAAAAGAGATGATGTTAAACATTAAATATCGACAGAAAGTTTCGTTTCAGCTGCAATTATGTTAACAACCTAAATCAATATCCAGATGTAACAGAGAAGAGACATATACTTTACCAATTAGAGATACCTTCTCCTGTAACATTGCAACGTGATTTTTCAAAGCAGCTGTAAGTCGTTCTGTCTGATTCAGAAACTTACTCTTCCTCCCTGCTCCTTTTAATCTCATTTCCGCCACCACAGCATCACACAGACGTCCATTTAGAGGCTTTTTCACTCTCCGATGACTTGTAGAAGTGTGATGCACTATTATTGTTACACTCTCCACAATTAAATCGTGAATATCATATGGTTGTTTTGGATAGAATGCCCCGTCTTCATATTGAGTCTACACTCCATCATGTGGCACTATCTCAATGTTAA